TGTTTTTTCCCCCCCCCCCCCCCCCCCCTTCTAGGACAGTTTTCTATAAATTTAGATTTCTTTAATAACTTAAATTTGGGGCTAGAAAATTTTCTTATAACTCAGGCTTGATGAAAATGGTATCAGCAGCTCTAGCTAGCTAGCTCTATCTATCTAGCTGTGCTAGACCGTTGTTGGAGAAGCCATTTGATTGTTTAAGAAGCATTCCTAGCTTTGGTGAAATGACAGCATGCTAGATTTATCTTTGAGTACTCTATAGTACGTGGAGCATAGAACAGTTTGGGGACCTTTGAGACTAGCATGAGTCTAATAATTTCTTTCAAGATATGAATGGGAATTTTGTTATGGATGCATCTTTCCATCCTTGTAAACTTGAAAGCCTGTTAGAAAAAAAAACAAAACAAACCAACAAAACCCAACAACCTGCAGCTTTTATTTCTCTAGTGTATGTATATAGTTTGTTTGTTATACAAATATCATCCCTGCGATCCTAATCAGACAATAAATGTCACCCAGTGACTATGGCCTGAGTCACCATGGAAGAAACTCAGGTGAAACCTTAGGCTTTGTTTTCTACAGAGTTGTGTCTGCCATGAAGCAAAACCAATTGCTGACCGTGCCATCAATGTGCCTAATAAACTGTGATCAACTCTCATTCTTTAAAAAAGTGTCATGCCACCTTATGAGAAGTTTTAGATTTGTTAACCAAATAATTTGTTGCCTTTGCATAGGTAAAAAAAAACAACAAATGAAATGGTGTATATATATATATAAAATATAACAAAGCAACAAAACCTTTGTAAGAAACTGGGAGCCCAGACCTGGACCCAGCACTCCAGGTGTGGCCTTACCCATGCTGGGTTAGAGGGGAAGGATCATCTCCCTCGACCTGCTGGCAGCGCTCCACCTCATGGAGCAAGGGGTGCCATTTGCTGCCTTTGCAGTGAGGCTGCATTGCTGGCTTATGCTCAACTTGCAGTCCACCAAGAACTGCAGGTCCTTTTCTGCAAAAGCTTTTAATACACATTTCTCTTTCATTCACATTTATTCCTGATATCTGTGGGAAAAACAAAGGACACAGAGATTCATTTCACTTCACTTTGTCTTTAATGTCATCTAATTGTATCACCCAAGGTATGCTATCATAACTAATAGTCATTTTGGGGTGCAAATTTTCTGACCTTAGACGGGTTGATTAAAAAAAAAAAAAAAGAAAAAAAAAAGAAAAAGGAAAATCTCTTCTCCATGGATTATAAAGACAGTTCATTTCACTTGAATGTATGTGATAACATTGTAGACATTGATCAGCATTAGGTCTGATGAATCCAAACCAGTATTTATTAATTTTTTTCTACTTTTTTTTTTTTTTGGACAGGTCCATTCCAGAGTAAAAGTGTGAATTAGAACAAGGTTCTGATGTATTTCAGCTTTTGGAGAAATGGATCAGCTGTTGCCTCCTGTGTTTATGTGACAATATACTTCCTACAGATTGTGTTGCATATTTTCCTATTGTGTTTTGATGTAAAATGCAATTTATTTATTTATTTTTACAGGCTAAATTCCATTGATGTGAAGTATCAGATGTGGAAATTAGGAGTTGTTTTCACTGATAATGTAAGTTTCTCTCTCTCTCTCTCTCTCTCTCTCTCTTTCTCTGTATATATTCACCTTCTAAAAAACAATATACACTTGTTAACCCAAAGTGCTTCAAAGGGAGATATGAAATACTCTAGATTATCTTTAATTTACTACATAGTTGAAGAAAATCTTAGAAGCTTAAAAAGACGTTGCTGAAATCTTTTCCCAGTTACATAGGTATTAGTCTACAGAAACTCAGTCAATTCCCGCCCCCCTTCTGATGTGCTCTATTCAGGAGCAATAAGCAAGCACTGCGCTCTAGAATTAGAAAACTGACTATATAAATTCTAATTGCCATTTTTCATATTGTTCATAAACTTTATGAACACTTGAATATTCCTGGAGCACAGTCAGATGGGTATAGTTAATGTATGTGGAATTGCTAAAATTTGTATTACTGAAACTCGTAATAGGATGTGACACAGAATGAGACTGATGATTTTAATAATTTGAAAAAATGAATCTTTAAATTCGCAAAAAAAAAGAATGATAAATAAGATTGTCTGTTAAAATACCTTGCAGTTTAAGAAGTCCCTCATCATATGATTATTAAGAGCCTTATGATTATCGCTTGCCTAACTCAGCTTATTTTACTGGTGGAAAAAAATTATTGGGGAACAAACAATTCTGGAACTAGAACTGCCAGAGAGTGAAAGTGTAATCTGCCTTTATTCAAGAGGAATGGAACAATAAGTCTCCAGATCTACAGAGAGCATGATCTATAAAGAGTAAAAATTTGTTCAGGATTAGGTTTTTTGTAAGGGAGCAGACTGTAATTTCTCTTATAAATATCTACTTGTCTCTAAGTCCGATAAAAAGTAAATGATAGGGGAAAATATGAAATTAACATTTGTTAATAGTTAGTAAACTACTTAAATAATACTTGTATGTTAAAATAGTAGTTTTAGTTGTTTGAATTAATTGTAAAAGTAATTTTGTTGCCTGCAGAGTCCTTTAATTTGTCATTAACAATGTTACAACTTTAATATTTTAATGTAATTATTCAGAAAGTAATAAACAAAAAAATCATTTAAAACAAAAAAATTTTTAACATTAGAAACATTAACAAATAAGGGTTCAGGAATTTCAAAATTAATTTTTATAAATTAAAATTTAGAATATGTCAATTTTGACAATGTCTTGTGAACTCTGTATTTGCTCATTTAATATTTTTGCACAAAGAGAAAATTCTCAAAGATCTCTAGTAAAATTCTACGTAAAAAAAAAATAGTTTTCTATTTAAAGAAAAGCACATTCAAGCAATTTCTACCTTTCCTTAGTATTGGATTAAATTAAAGATAATAGCCATGAGATTTATTTTGTGATGTACTTGTTTTTTCTGTTAGTCTTTTCTTTACCTAGCGTGGTACATGACCATGTCAGTCCTTGGCCATTACAACAATTTTTTCTTTGCTGCTCATCTCCTTGACATTGCAATGGGATTCAAGACATTGCGAACTATCCTGTCATCAGTGACCCACAATGGCAAACAGGTATCTCTTTTCACCTTTTTTACTTAAGAGTTCATAGGAAAGATCACGTCATGACTTAATTCAGCTGCTCTGCAAATTGGCAACAGAATTGTTCTTTCATCATGAAGTTTAGAACTTGGATGAATGGGGAAACTAGCCAATGGGATTTATAAGCATGAGAAAATGGGACTAGGTTGTATGGCAGTCTCTGTTAAGAGCAACTATGTCATACAGTTGCTGTTTAAATTTTTTTCAAGATTCATCTAAAGAAAGATCCAGTTGAGTCATAGTTACTCTGTTAGAGGACTGTTTGAGAACCTCAGCTCTTTTTAAAGATTTTAAGAAATCTTTTCTTAAAGAAGCTATAAAGTCTGAAATTGCATTTCTGATTTAAGTAAAGAAAATAACAGGCTTTTCATCTACTGAGATCTGTTGTAGGAATGCCATTTAATGTAACCTGAGACTTAGTGTTCCTCAAGACTGATGGCCTTCCTACTTCAAAAAGCCATCCTTGGTTTGCTTAGATCTTCCAGCAAGGCAGCTAATATAAATCTTATTCAAGTGGGCTGGGACTGGTAACATAAAAGTCTTCTCTGTTGTGTATACTTACGTGCTGTTGTAGTACGATGGAACTTCAGTTCTGACTTTGTACAATATAGATGCTTTAGAAGTCAGGTGGCAAGGGCCATTTCGAAATTTATCAGTAGCAAGTTATTTTTCAGGTTTGTTTTTCTTTGTTTGTTTGGGTTTTTTTCTCTTTTAAGCAGTTTGATACTAGAGAAATATAAAATTATTAGCAATGATTTTTCATAAATGCAAAGGGTGATTGATTTAATTTAATTCTGCCTTCAAATGTACTGTCCTTGTCAACATATTTTAAGAAGTAATACACATTTAAATGCACACAGTTTATATTTCAAAATAGCTAGTGAAGTGCATGACACATAGAAGACTCTTAAGTATGAACTCACCTTGTCAAACTGTTATTTGTTCTAATGTATGTGGTAAACTTAAGTATAATTTGTGGAACAAAAATTGTGTCTTGAAAAGTTACAGAAATCAACATACTGCATTCTTTGCCCTTTGAAGTACAGAATTTCTTAAATTCTTAATTCTGATTTCTTAAAAGAAAAAAAAATGAGTCTGCACTTAAAAAAAGTGAAGTATCCTGCCTTTTAAAAATAGTCCTGAAGTTTTAGCAAATTACTTATGATAAGGAAATTTTTAGGTCTGGCAGCTATGCAAGTGAAATATCAATTTGCAGGACATTGCAGTTCTCTTCCAGCTGCTTTCCATAAAGCTCAAGGCAAAATTTTAGTGATGCTACGGTTGAGCAGTGGCATATTTGTTCCTGCTTCTCTGAGGTAGATATTAAAATATTAGGAACAGTTTGTTTTATGTGTGATTTCATAGATGTAAACAAAACTGTTTTGGTATTAGTAGAAATACTGTGTTGCAATTATATAATAGGTGATATTAGTAGTACTTTTACTATCAGGTAGTAAACTTTCAGATATTTTTGATCGTGTGGGGTTTATATGATTCTAATGGATTGTTTGCTTGTGTATGTATCCACTAGATTTTCTAAGATTTGTCTCTGTGTTTCTGAAGCATAGTTTTCCTTCAAAATAAAACAGGTGAAATGCACAATCTTTGCATGAAAATATGCAGTTATATTACCAAATATTACAAAGATATGCAAAGAGACAGAAAAAGTAAAGAAAGTTTTCCTTCTGCTAGTACATATAGATTATTGTTACTTTCCTTCTCTTTTTGCAAAGAAAATTATATAGCATAATTCTATGGTGGTGTTATATCCACTCAATAATTTTGTCTTCCAGCTTGTCTTAACAGTGGGATTACTGGCAGTAGTAGTATACTTGTATACAGTAGTGGCATTCAATTTTTTCCGCAAGTTCTACAACAAGAGTGAAGATGGTGATATGCCGGACATGAAATGTGATGATATGTTAACAGTGAGTCTTATTTTGCTTTCTGAATTCTTTCTTAAACTTCTTGTAATTCCTGTTCATACAGTTGTATCATTAGCCAGCAACAGGAAGGACTATAAATTGAAGGCAAAGGAATAAATATAATGAACATGTATGTCTAACAACTATATATACCCTGTGTATGTTAAACACATCTATAAATGAATAGAAAAAATATGATGGTATTCTTTGCTATAGTGTCTCAAAAATGAAAAACAACTACAAGCTGTGAAGCTGAGCCAAGTCAGTTCAAGGGCAGTACTTCTGAATCTTGATGGCTCTACAGGCCATTCAGGAGGAGAGTCAGTTATAGGCAAGGACTTTCCTAAGTAATTTAGGTACTGAAATGCTTGTTTAAGCTTGGAAATCCATCAGTTTCTTTTAGCATGAATTGCCATGATTATCTTCAACTGGCAAATCTGTTGCTGAAATCTCTCCTGTGCTCAGAACCACTGAAAATTATTTTGCTCTTACTGAGACAGTGTCAGGCTTTGCGGTTGTGAACGGTAGGTAGAGCTTAAATCACAAAGAATTTCTAAGATGCGTTGCTGTTAATATCCTTCTAAAAGTAATCATGTACAACAAAGTTAAATGTATTTCAGTATGTTATGCAATATGAATAACTTCTAGGGAACTGACACCATTTAAAAGCCCAATTATTAGATCTACTGTGGAGGCAGACTAGTATGTCTGTATTTTTGTCCAGTTTGGGACATTCAGTACAAGAAAGATGTTGATAAACTGGAGCATAAATCAGTGAAGGGCTGTTAAATTGTCAGGTGCTTAAGCACTTGCCCTGGGAGGAGAGGCTCAGAGAATTGGACTTGTTGGGCCTGCAGAAGAGAAAGCTTCAGGGTGCAGTGGAGTGTAAAGGCAGCTCCCCAGTGCCTGCAGAGAAGTTATTGGGAAGACAAATCCAGGCTCTTTACAGCAATGCGTGGCAGGAGACCATGAACATAAAGTGGAAAAAGGTGTTCTGACTGAGGAGAGCCAAGCAGTGGATCAGGTTGCGCAGAGAGGTTGTGCAGTCTCCATCCTTAGGAGGTTGTAATGGCCTGACTGGGTAAAGCCCAGAGCAACTTTGAGCTTACAGTGAACCCTGCTTGGAGCAGGATTTCAACCAGAGACCTCCCAAAGTCCCTTCTGATCTGACCTGCTCTGTAATTCTCTGAAAATACACTTACAAAAAGGCTATAATATTGTACAGGAACGAGTTAGAATAACATGTGACATGCTATAAAATCAGGATTGTCTTTTGTAAAAGCTGTAAGACTTGCAATGTGATGTTAAAAAGAAAAAATAAAGAAAAAAGAAAAGTACAGAGAATATATTTTTATTTTTAGAAATAGAAAAATAACTTAAAACTTTTTAGATAATTAACACTACATTCACTTATTAAATTAATGATTGACTTTCAATGGTGAAATAAAAGCTATCTCTAAAAATCGTTACGTTTTTCAGCCATTGGTCACTCCATTGTGTGTTACTGTATCAATTTCTTACATAAAGGATTTTGGGGGTAAGTGTGGCATAGAAATACAAGAATGGCTGTTTTGTATGGTTAGGTTTTAGGAGTTAGTTATTGTTATTGTCATCACTACATTTTGATAGAGAGTGAGAAATCTGGACCTGTAGCTTGAAAAGCTCCTTAAAGAAAAAGAACCAGTCCCCCACTCCAGACCTCTGAGAGTGATATCAGAATTTTCTATTAAATTATAGCATGATAAACTGGAAATTTTTCATTGTCAGTATCCCACATAACTATACCGGGAGACCTATTATACTACTTTTCAGATCATAGTTTCACGGTATTAGTCTCAGTTTTTTTCCATCATTAGCCTGTCCTCTGCACAAACATTCTCAAAAGGTGTTGGTTGGTTGGTTGGTTGAGGTTTTCTTTTAATTTGTGTTTAAAACACCAAAGATGGGGAGTCATTCAATTTTGAGCTAGGAAAATGGAAGAGGAGGTGGCTGCGGTGGTAATGGTATTTCCTATTTGCACATTACTGAAACTATTGTCATATGCTGCTGGACTTAAGGTAGTTGAATCTTTGATCTTTTTGAACTGCTACATAATGACAGAACATGAAATACTGCAGCTTCAGCTGCACAGCAGCATTTCACCTCCCTCAAAAGTGTACATAACCTCAAAGGGGAGAAAAAAATAACTTGACATAGTGTAGTTGCTTGACCATAGACCAGTTCTGACAGTTACTGAATTTACAACATTAGATATTTTTACTTTTAGCTGCAGACAAACTTTGTTTCACTTTGTTTTGTGTTTTCTAGTGCTACATGTTTCACATGTATGTTGGAGTACGGGCAGGTGGAGGCATTGGTGACGAAATAGAGGATCCAGCAGGAGATGAATATGAAATCTACCGGATTATCTTTGACATCACTTTCTTCTTCTTTGTGATTGTTATCCTGCTTGCAATTATTCAAGGTATATGCTTGTAACCCATGGTGAGACTGAAAGCCTTATTTAGCAGTACAAAGATCTTAGTGCTATGGTAGTCACACACCTAAGATTCAACCAGGACACCAGGACAGATCATGAAGCACAGATTTATATAGTAAATCACACCCAGCTGGCTTTTATCCTAGTGTCTGTAAAATCAACAGCCTCTAACTGCATCAGTGGAAACTAAAAAACCCTCTTTGCTGTGAGAATACTGGTGTCACTACAGTTTCTATCTTCTCATTGCCCTTTCTAAAAGCCTCCTGTAAATGATCAGTAAGAGAAGTAATTAGAAATCTTGTGGCATACCTTAAAACTGTCTTTCAGTATAACTCACCCTTTGTGAGCTTATGTAGACAAAATCAGTAGCGGATGCTGTCAGTATTCCCCCTGCCAGAATCTAATGTTCTTGACTGTCTGGCAATTCTTCAGATTGGTGGTAGTGGTGTGAAAATTGGAACATAGCTTTAAGAGATTTAATCTTTTCTTACATAAAAACCTCTTTTTGATGTGATGCCTCCTCACTTGAACAATGTCAGAGTAAACGAAAGTGCTTGGTATGAAATAGCTTTAGTATATCCTGGTTACTGACAATGGAAAATCAGCTGCCATCAGGTTAGCTTCTGAATTTGAGTGAAACTATTTGACTGATAGTGTGGCTGACTGTTGTAATCTGGATAGTGGATACTGAAATTTGGGAAGTCAGTCTTTTTTCTATTATGTTTGTATTAATGATATTGAATGTTATTACATAAAGTACTTAAAACCCCCATCTGTTTACATATCATACCTTCAAAAGATTTTCAAGAATGCCCTGAAGATCATCTGTTATTAAAGTCTGCACAAATTAACAGAAGTATATTCTTGATTTTGGAAAAAACACGTAATGATTTTTGCTAGGTCCAGTTGCTGCTACAAATAGTGATACCTTATTGCTTTCTGTCAGCTCACAGTTAGCTAACTTATGATGATTTTGGCGGCAGTAAGGATGCTTTCTAACTTCCTACAAGGAAGTTTAGAAGGTGACTCTGAGCTTGTGGAAAATTGTTTATACCTCTGACTCAAGCAGCAAGTTTTCTGAAGGGCTTGGGGAGGGTGCAAAATCTCATATGAGGTAGCATATCTCACACTGTTTGTTTCTTCGTTTTTTGAGTGGCTGAAGAGGTATTGGTCAATAGTCAGCTGAATATGAGCCAGCAGTGTGCTCAGGTGGCCAAGAACGCCAACAGCATCCTGGCTTGTATCAGAAATAGTGTGGCCATCAGGACTAGGGAAGTGATTGTTCCCCTGTACACAGCACTGGTGAGGCCGCACCTTGAATACTGTGTTCAGTTTTGGACCCCTCACTGCAAGAAAGACATTGAGGTCCTGGAGCATGTTGAAAGAAGAACAACAAAACTGACGAAGGGTCTAGAGCCCAAGTCTTATAAGGAACGACTGAGGGAACTGGGGTTGTTTAGCCTGGAGAAAAGCAAGCTGAGAGGGAGACCTTATCTCTGTCTACAACTACCTGAAAGGAGGGTGTAACAAGGTGGGTGTTGGTCTCTTCTCCCAAGTAACAAGCAATAAGACAAGAGGTAGTGGCCTCAAGTTGCACCAGGGGAGGTTTAGATTGGATATTAGGAAAAATTTCTTCACTGAAAGGGTTGTCAAGCGTTGAATGAATGTCAAGCACAATCACATGAACAGGCTGCCCAGGGAAGTGGTGGAGTCACCATTCCTGGAGGTATTTAAAAGATGCATATATGTGGTGCTTAGAGACACGGTTTAGTGGTTGGACTTGGCAGTGCTAGGTTACGGTTGGACTTGATGATCTTAAAGGTCTTTTCCAACCTAAACAATTCTATGATTCTCATCTGTTATTCATCAGTTTTACAGCCCAGTAGTGTCAATAATGATTGTGGAGTTAGTCCTTATTTGTATTGGTGTAAGCAAAGGGAAAATCATAAAGAATTTATAATCTGAGCCATAGACCCTGTGTGTTTTTTCTTCTTCTTTCTGTATCTCCCTGAAATGACCTCTTCTGTAGAGCTCTGACAGTAGAACCTTGTACTACATGACAACCATAATGAGAGAGGATGCACAGAGCTCTGGGCCTCTCGGCATTTTCTGTGCAATAAATCCCTGAACTCTGTTAAACATACAGTAGTATTCTTTCTGTAGTAAAGCCTCCATCACTGTAAAACCACATGCTTCTTCATGTACTGAGTCAGGATTAGAACACTGTGAATAAAACCAAAGTCTGCTTGTCCCATTTTATAATTCCAAATGGTACTGCCAGCTGTGTTACTGGTAGCCATTTTCTTTGACTTGCTTATTTTTCTTCGTGTATTGAGTTGTTTTTGTGGTCTTTGGAATATATATTGGCTTGTATTATTTATGCACAAGATTCTCATTTAATATTCTTTGTCAGAGTTATCCTTGGATTTCCAAATATTTGTTGTCACAGTTCTGTTCTTGAACATTAACTATCATTTTAACTTAAACCCTAGGTTTAATTATTGATGCTTTTGGTGAGTTGAGAGATCAGCAAGAGCAAGTTAAGGAAGACATGGAGGTAAGAACATCCATTTGCTGAACCATACCCTATTTTCAGGTTTCATGAATATCTGTTTTCAATCAAAATGTGATCTAGCTAGTGGATAGTTTTTTAAACTAAGAGGAAAATACAGTTTTGTACACGGTCCAATATCATACAATGTCTTGGATGAGATTCTACTCTCGCATCTCAGTTCATTAGGTGGAAATAATAACTGAGATTATTTTTTTATTGACTTTCTTTGTATCTATTAAAATATAAGAATTTACTTAAGTAGTTCTGTTAGTACCCAATAAAATTATTTTTAGTCAATTTTATGAAGAGAAGACTGCTACCATCCAGATTCTGAATAACATTTACCAGTCTTTGCCGCCTCCTGTGAAAGAGTTATGCTATGTTTGACAGGTGCTAGATGCTTCCTTGCATGTCTCTCTGCATGAGGGACAAACCCAGGCTGTCTAAACTGATATTCTGCTCTAAGCATATTTTACATTTGTTCACCAATTCCTATTATGGATTTTTTTTAATACCTACAGATCAATTGTGGCCAATTTTTTTTCTGTCAGTGATAAGTTAACAAAAATTCAGACAAAATTTTCTCATGACTTTTCAAAGTTCACACTACTCCCTGTATCTTCAGTTTTGTAAGCAAGAAAAATCTTTGCACATTGCTGTATATTATAATGAATTACATGCCTGTGGCTATTTAAGTCTGTTGGATCTTCAGATTAGAGGTTTCTAACACAAGATGTTAATACAGTTATGTTACAGTTCATCTCAGCTGTAATTTCTACTACCTGTACTTGGCTTTCTGTTCTTTCATTTAAGTATGACTATGAGCACTCAGAAAAGTGTTGCAAATCTACTGTGTTTTGTAATCTAAATTTCAAGCATATTCAGTTTCGGCAGAACAAGCACAACAGGCATTGAGGTAAATATTGCCATATGTTACAGTGAGTGCTATTTACAGTGTTAAAAGGAAAAAAAATCAGCTTTGACCATTGTATGCCATTCTTCCTCCTGATACCTGTTCACTTACAGCTGTCAAAGATTTATGGGTTTTTTTAAACAGTAAGAAGCTGTTCTGATGGCAGTGAAATAGCTATTCAGTGGTTTTGGCTGAGGTATCCAGTCGCAATCATTAAAAGAAAAGCCTTTCTGTTCAGCATATATTATACATGATGCATTGCCATTTTCAAGAAAATTGTTACATTTTTATTGGCCTGTTCTTAAAGGGGAGCAGAGTTATATATAGTGTTGAAGTGCTCTGTATTCTTTCTTTTAGACAAAGTGCTTTATCTGTGGAATAGGAAATGACTACTTTGATACAGTGCCCCATGGCTTTGAAACACACACGCTACAGGAGCACAACTTGGCCAATTATTTGTGAGTACAGTAAAAATGAACTCCTTACTAACTCATGACCCTTGCAGCCTCTGCAAGTACCTGATTAGCTCTCTTACATAAGTAAGAGTCAGTACTGTTTGACTTTGATGTGCACTCACACTGGCTGAATATATCATTCTGTGGCAATGGGAGCAAGGAATGACCAAACTTCATTACCTTGTTTCCAGCTTGGTTGTGACACACAAAGTTTGTATGAGCTCGGAGATGGAAACCAGAAACTTAGTATGTGGTTGTGGAGGCATTGTAAAATTGAATGTGTTGTATAAGGTACAGAGGAACAGTATGACATGGCCTGGAGACTAATGGAGAGAGAGGACAAGCAAAGGAGTGAGGCAAAAGAGGGAAAACTTACATTGGACAAAATATTTTGAGCGTAGTGCTGAGGCTGACTAAAAGAACCTGGGACAAAGGGAGGTAGGGGAACTGGAACGAGGAGCTAGAGCAGGGAGGGATCAGACCAAGGGCATCAGGTCCACCTGTGGAAAATCCAAGCAGAGCATCAGTGACCACTAAACTCAGTCTTTTTAAATCTGGAAAGAAAACCATTTATCAGGTCCACAATCACTGTATCATACTGTTCCTCTCCTGTCAAATACCTATGAAAATCTAGTGCCAAAGTGTATTTTATACTCATGCTGTCAGTATGAAGCAATGGATGGATTGTGACTTTGTGTCTGTAAACTAGCACTGTCTGTGCACAAAATGATGAGACTGTAAGGTCAAACATCCCTACGAAGAACTTTCACCTGAAAAACAGCTGGTACAAACAAAATACATTAAAAGCACCATCATGTGGGATTTTGTTCCTGCCTACAAAGTACTACACAAATAATATACTATAGCATGCTTACTCTAAGTGCATCATCCTAAGGAAATGTTTTTTGATATTTTTGTGCATGATAATATTTTATATTTTTACATATGTTTGGAGAGAATGTCTATTATGAGTGAAATTTTGAAATCATCACCTAATGTCTGTCAAATATCTCAAACCCCAAAGACTAATGTATTTTTAAAATTACAAGTTCTTTTCTGCTCATGTTGATCTCGACTTACATACACTAGTAAAATATTCCTGACCTATATTATCAATAAGAGAAATCTTTTAATCATCTTCAACATTTCTTATTCATTGCAGGCAGGGGAAAAATAGAGTTCCAATGACTATTCTTTGTCTGCTTCCCATTTGGTGTTCGTTGGCAAGAAAATGTCAATTATAATTTTCAGATTAGAAAGCTTTGAAAAAAATCTTCATTTGAACTGAGTTGCTATTTACTGTAAATCAAACTGAATCTCTTGCAATTTAGCATACTGTTCATTGAACAATGAGTGTCAGCAGTGTCAGGAAAGTATATTTAATGTGTCTGGGAATATTATCATAAACAGAACTCTGGAACTTGTAAATCCATGAACAGCTTTATCACTGTACATGCTGAAAAATATCCATCCCTCTGTGGGTTGCCTAATGTTTCCAAATATTGTATTCATAATACCTGTTTCTTTGCTTGTAGGTTTTTTCTGATGTATCTTATTAACAAAGATGAAACAGAGCATACAGGACAGGTAGGTCAAACAACTCTGAATGTGAACAGTTACTAAATAAGACTGATTCAAAAATACAAATAATTCAAGCTTGGCAAAACTAAGAGTATTCTAACGAATAGCTCCCTATATGGTATGTAACTTAATTCTCATTCTTCTAAACAATTCTTAGAACTTTGGTTGCTTAATGTTAGATTGAGTATCAATTCTGTAGTACTTCCTATTCCTATGTTGCTATCTGACCTATTATTCTTAAATTTCTACTTCTGCAAAATAAAAATACAGGCTATAAACAGAAATAACGAGAAACAGAACATTTAAGCATCTTGTGAAATCAGCACTCTTCATTTCTTCCTGTTGAATATTTTTTAATAGTCTTTGTCATTTATCATTATCTATATATAATCTTTTATGTCTACATTCCTGGGTAAGTCCATACAAAAGAACTTGAGCGTATATTTAAAATGAAGCCTGTGAGAGCAGGTGTTGTGTGTAGGCATGTTTTGAAATGACCGATGCAGAAATTCAGTCAAATTTCTATGACAGAAAATATTCTGCTTACCTTGGTATTTGTCTCATGATCAGCTTTAACTGAGCTTTACAGTGCTCCTGGATGTGCAATAAGAACTAAACTACCTGATACTCTTCTGTGTGTTTCTCTAATGCTTTTTGACTAGGTGACAGAAAAATCTAAAAGCTACTCTAAAGTGATCAAAATCGTTAACATGATTTTGTAGATTGATATACAACAACCTGATATGCACAGAATCAAAAAGTGAAGCAGTATATAAATAAAAGAGAAAAAAAAAAAAGTCATGGTAGGTGCTTTCTCATTGAATCAAGTTAAATTATTTAAATTGTGTTTCAGGAATCCTATGTATGGAAAATGTATCAAGAACGATGCTGGGAGTTTTTCCCTGCTGGTGACTGCTTCCGAAAACAATATGAAGACCAGCTCAACTAAGCAGAGATGAGCATTTCCGGATGAAAATATGTCCATGTGTTTCCCAACTCTTTTGGGAATGTCCAAGAGATTTCTTAAATCCCCAAAGCTGTGTGCTTTTTGGAGCACCGAAGCTCTGTTTTTAATGACCCAACTGCGCTTTTATTTTCTTGTGTATTTGCTTTGAGAACACTGGAGTAAAGAACAATGAAAAGCAAGAGCAACTCTGGAAAACAAACCAACCACTTGCACACACAAAAGATATCCCTATACATAACATGCACACATAAGAAGAGACTTGAGACAGCTTATTTCTGAAACTGCCAGATGATGCCCTTGTCTATAAGATCACACATGGGGTGACATGGTAGCAACACTCATTCGATCTGTTTATTTCATCATCCTGGAAGGAACTATATGTAGTTCGCAGAGCACTGTAAAAGATTGTTGTGGACACTAAGTTGTGGGGAAATAGTGCCTTACTATATGTGGGTTGAGCTATGCAGAAGATGAGTGCATGATGACATCTTTTTTTTTTTTTTCTTTATGTCTTCTCTTTCTTCCAAGTTAATATTTATTTTGTGGTTTTGGTGGGTTTGGGAGGAAGGGATTTGATTGTGCACATCTTTTTAATAAGACTGGAGTGTCTCAGGACAAGATTAGGTTATTCTCATCGAGTTCATTTCACATTTACCTTCCTCTTTGGCTTTTGCTCTTATTTTGGTAATGCTCTGATACAACACTGCAACTTTATGAAATCTTTGTATGAAAACAAGACGACTGCAAAAAACACTTTAACAAGAAATGTTTCATTGCATGTTTATTATGCAAGTTTAAAACAATCAAAAAAACAACCTTCAGAAGCAAGTTGATCAACATGAAAAAACATTCACAATAATTATATCCATAGTAATAAAGTGTTGTGGGCTTTATTGTACATCTGGAACAAGTGTCATCAGCCAACAATGTATATGTTATGAATTTGACAATAGTTTTGGTTTCTTTTCTTTTTTTTTTTTTTCCTTTCATTTCTGCCACCTGTGATCAATAGTGGAGTTGAAGATTTTCTTGTTAAATTATTTTTTAAAAGCAAAGCTGAAGCAATATTCATTCAGGGACTCCATCAGTTGCATCATGAAACACCAATGATGTGTACATCACTCCATTTTGAGTCCTTTTCAATTGTAATGCCAGTCTTTACAAATAAAAAGAGAGATTCAGAATGGAAACACGCTGGTTTTGGTAGCATTTGAGGTCTTTGTTATGGAGTCTTTTTATTAATCCCTGAATTAATTACACCCACTTCAAAACAGGATTAAGCCATTGTTTCCTTAATGAAATTTTTTGGTTTAGTTTTTGTTTTTTCTCCCAGACTTCTTGCTATTCTGTTCCTCTACCTCATTTCTTTACAGGCCACAGTTTTGTCATAAAATAAATTGACCATATCAATATTCAGTTATAACTAAGAAAAATTATAACCTAAGAAATAATCCTTTAAAAATACTAATTCTGTATTCTTACAAAACAGGTTTTCCAGTTCAGCAGATTGTGAATATTGCTACTCTGCAATTGGGATCTTGATGAGGGTTCTGGTAAAGTTCTTTCAAATGCCACAATAATTGAGGCCAGAGGCTGAGCAGGCTGGTGATGGTGGGAGGGGCAGGTACAGCAGCTACAATGCGTATTCAGGTTTTCAACCACCCCTATCCAGTTTGGAGTATTAATACCAGCTTTGTTTCCTCCCTATTTTCCACATAAACGCCACAAAACACTTTTAACCAGTCTTTCTGGGGATTTGCATATAAGATTTAGAAATGAGGGATTGCAATGGTGTTCCTTTTTGGGTATACAACATGAGAATAATTGTTGTTTGACACACAGGCACACACATTATTTTGATTTTTCACATTTTGTTGAGAAATATGTAGCTAATGATTCTGACTGATATTTCAAGATCCCTTTGTCTTGAAAACAAATTCAAATGAACTTTGTAGGCAAATACCAGAATAAAAGTGACTTGTTTCATTAACATCAACTTCCATGTCACAAAGCTTCTGGGGCATCCTTGCTGTTGAATCCAGTATGCTGTTTAACAAAAATACGTGAAGCCACAATTAAACACTGGAGTCTTTCAGGATGAGACCTACTGATTATATGGTGATGCAAAAAGTTTGTTTTTAAATGTGAAAAAAATCTTCATTTATTAAATTAATTATAGCTTTCACAGAAACAAATTCCTACCGCTAAGAACTGGTCCATGAGAGTCTGCAAGATTAGAGTTCACTCCTGAAAAAGGATGGGAACTGGCTTTGGCCGACCTTCAGAGCCTGGTCCTGCTTCCTCTCTGCAATGGCTGTAGACTTTGAGTCCCTGAAACCTGGCATTTCCCGTTTCGTTCAGTGCATGACACTTGCCACCGAGAGGCTTTTTCTTAACACTTGACACATCTAATTCAAGAAAAGAAGCTCACTTTGAAATTAAAAATAAGAGTACATGTCATAGGAGATTGATTTATTTTAAAAGCATGCGTTTCCTGTGGCTCGTACGATTTCTGAGACTAATGTGCACTTTTAACAGGATAATATTATTCAGGCAGGCCACAAACTACATGATACAGACTGTGGTGTCCAATTTAATACCATTTAATTTGTTTTAGGCTTAGACAAAGTTGAAGCGAATTCTTAATTTTATTAAAAATTACTGAACTTACTGTGACAAACACTTCTTTGAATTTTTGTGTTGTAAAAGAGTCAGTAAGTTAAGCAATGTGATCATAGGAATACAGCAAACCAATGCAGACAATTCACTGCTTTAACAGTTGTATCAAAAGAAATTAACATTGACATGTGGCCTACATACTAGCACAACACACCAGAGCAAGTAAGAATATGTCACTTGAAACCTGCAGTTTTAAATCCAAGAAATTCAATTATAGTGCTTAGGCATGTGGTATTTAAGATAAGGTTATGCTTACACACAGATTTGTGTATGCTGTTTTTTTCCCCAGCTGTTGGCTGAATTTACTGGTTGCATCAATAAAACTAATTTTCAGGAGGAACTCTTGCCCTTTATTGAAGATAGCAGAGAAAGAATTGTTGCTGTTTACCTCTGAATGCCAAGAGAATTCAGAAGAGCTCTATAACTGATCCTAATGCATGCATGTTGATTTCAGCAAAGAAGCAGAGGAATGAATGAAAGCAAAGTAAGACGGAAGAGTAGTTGAGGTGTGATTCATTTGCGGAAGTTGTTACTCATTTATATATTTTTCCACTTAGAATTGAGTTACCTAACATTTGTTACACCTTCTTCTGCTACTCTGTTCCTATGTATTTCCTTCCCTAAAACTTGGAAGCTTAAGCCTGTGTTTCTTACTGAGACAGTCACAGAAAACAGAAGACAAGAAAAGGACACTGTAATATCCTTGGCCTGTGCATTACTCCAAGACTAATCCCCTCATCTTGGCTACAAGTGTGCTATTTAAGTTGTTGTTGAATATTTTCATTTGTAGTATCTTACTGTTACAGGACTCAAACTAATGAATACGCATTTTGTAATGAATTCCATTGAAGTTTATAACTCCTTTGATAACACCCCTACTACCCTCAGAGGCACTGAATAATTCCCTTTACTTTCACAATCACCTGTAAAGCATTCATAGGATGTAGTATTTTCCAGGTTTTTCAGTCTTCTAGAGTGTGTATTAATTTTTTTTCATTAGCCAAAAAAAAATATAACTGTGGTGTCCAGAACAGTCTCTGTCAAAGTATAAGACATCTGTCACAGAGAGCATGCGTGGGTACGTTCTTTGATTAAATCTGTCTAATATTTATGCTTATAAATGTAGATCCTTCAATCTCTCTTAAGCTATAGCCACTTTTGTTTGTATATTTATTTGCTTTTCAGTTTTCTTTAGCTTTTTTAAAGCCATGCAAAACCATAGATGGTTGCGAATATAATTTCAAATTATATCATCTTACAGTCACTTCTTACTCAAGTAAGAATATCTTATTTGTAAGATATTTAAGTACAAATACCCATTTATAGGCGCTATTTTTTTTGCAGCTGCCTCTTTTCTTTCCTTTCCCTTTCCTTTTCCCTTCCCCCCTT